GGGTGGGGGACACGGAGGGGATTGGTGGCCACCAAGTGGGTTGGGGACACGGAGGGGATTGGTGGCCACCAGTAGGTTGGGGACATGGAGGGGATTGGTGGCCACCAAGTGGGTTGGGAACACAGAGGGGATTGGTGGCCACCAAGAGGGTTGGGGACACAGAGGGGATTGGTGGCCACCAAGTGGGTTGGGACATGTGGGGACTGTGGCCACCAAGTGGGTTGGGGCCATGGAGGGGATTGGTGGCCACCAAGTGGGTTGGGACATGGAGGAGATTGGTGGCCACCAAGTGGGTTGAGGACACGGAGGGGATTGGTGGCCACCAAGTGGGTTGGGGCCATTGAGGGGATTGGTGGCCACCAAGTGGGGTGGGGACATGGAGGGGATTGGTGGCCACCAAGTGGGCTGGGGACATGGTGGGGTTTGGTGGCCACCAAGAGGGTTGGGGCCATGGAGGGGATTGGTGGCCACCAGTAGGTTGGGGCCATGGAGGGGATTGGTGGCCACCAAGAGGGTTGGGGACATGGAGGGACACGGGGGGACACGGGGGGACACGGAGGTACCTTGTTGGTGAGGTAGCGCTTACTGGCCACCGCCGGTAGCCGCAGGACCCGCTCCAGCGCCTGTCGCACCGTGAGCCCCGGGGGCAGGGCCAGAGGACGCAGGGTGGGGGCCACCCGCTGCAGCACGAACTCCTGGGGGGGCAACAGGGTCCCATCACCATGGGGTGGCCTCCATCATCATGGAGGTCCCATCCCAGTTGGGTGTCCCCATTGAGTGACCCTCATCATCATGGAGGTCCCATCCCAGTTGGGCGTCCCCAGTCCCAACTGGGGGGTCCCCAGTCCCAATGAGGAGGTCCCATCATCATGGTGGTTCCATCCCAGTTGGGTGCCCCCAGTCCCAACTGGGGGGGTCCCCAATCTCCACTGAGTGACCCCCCTCATCATGGTGGTCCTATCACAGTTGGGTGTCCCCATTCCCAACCAGGGGGTCTCCATCCCCATTGAGTGACCCCCATCATCATGGAGGTCCCATCCCCACTGGTTGTCCCCATTGAGTGACCCCCATCATCATGGAGGTCCCATCCCAGTTGGGCGTCCCCGTTCCCAACTGGGGAGTCTCCATCCCCATTGAGTGACCCGCCCCCATCATCATGGTGGTCCCCATCCCAGTTGGGTGTCCCCATTGAGTGACCCCCATCATCATGGAGGTCCCATCCCAGTTGGGTGTCCCCATCCCCAACTGGGGGGTCCCCAACCCCAGTGAGGGGGTCCCATCATCATCTCCATCCCCAACTGGGAGGTCCCCATTTCCACTGGGTGGTCTCCATCATCATGGTGGTCCCCATCCCAGTTGGGTGTCCCCATCCCCAACTGGGGGGTCTCCATCCCCATTGAGTGACCCCCATCATCATGGTGGTCCCCATCCCAGTTGGGTGTCCCCATTGAGTGACCCCCATCATCATGGTGGTCCCATCCCAGTTGGGCGTCCCCAGTCCCAACTGGGGGGTCTCCATCCCCATTGAGTGACCCCCATCATCGTGGAGGTCCCATCCCAGTTGGGCGTCCCCATCCCCAACTGGGAGGTCCCCGTTTCCACTGGGAAGGTCCCATCATCGTGGTGGCCCCATCTCCATTGGGTGTCCCCATCCCCAACTGGGGGGGTCTCCATCTCCATGGGGTGTCCCCCCCACCCCTCACCTTGCGGGGCATCTTGCCCAGCACCCACTCCAGCTCCAGGTTGACGGGGGTGGGGAGCCCCTCGTGGGACCCCCCCTCGGGCACCGGCTTCTCCAAGTCGTCCACCAGCACAATCTGGGGGGGGGACACCAAGGGGGGGGGGTCAGCAGGGCTGGGGCCCCCCCC